GCCCCAAGCACTCAACCTATATTTCATATGATTTGTTATATTGTCCCATACATGAATATATATGGTTAAGGGGTGGGGATCTCGACCGTTTCCAAGTTCTCAAACAGGAGGGGTGGGGTGACCCCCAAGGACTCCCCCTATATTTCATTTCATTTGTTATATTGTCACATACATGAATATGTATGGTTTATGGGATCATTATTTTTTTGTATGCTCCAATGAACAAATTATGTCTTTAAGAGAAAGGTATATACCTACATATTACACACAAAATCCTTCCCAATTGAAACTTACTGGTCTATTATCACACTGTAACGTGCCACTGCTAACAAAAGTGTGCATGTTTCTAAGACATATTGAAAAAATATTTTCATAATACAAAGCATGTTACAATAACTTCATATCCACGTTGCAATTAAGAATTTTGCAAACAAATCAACCAAATATGGTTTATTTCAATTTTATTGTATGATATCACTTATTTATTTATTGTGTGTCTTGCTTGTAAATGTATAAGTATATATGTAATTGTTAATGTATAATTGTTATCCTCTTGTAGCACCATACGTGTGCTTAAGTTTAAATAAATTGTCTTGTCTTGTCTTGGGATCTTGACCGTTTCCAAATTCTCAAACAGGAGGGGTGGGGTGACCGCAGGGACTCCCTCTATATTTCATTTGATTTATTATATTGTCCCATACATGAATATATTTGGTTTAGGGGTGGGGATCTCGACCATTTCAAAGTTCCCAAACAGGAGGGTTGGGGTGACCCCAGGGACTCCCCTGTATTTCATTTGATTAGTTATATTGTCCCATACATGAATATATATGGTTTAGGGGTGGGGATCTCGACTGTTTCCAAGTTCTCAAACAGGAGGGGTGGGGTAACCCTAGGGACTTCCCCCTATATTTCATTTGATTAGTTATATAGTCCCATACATGAATATATATGGTTTAGGAGTGGGGATCTCATCCGTTTCAAAGTTATCAAACAGGAGGGGGTAGAGTGACCCAAAGGATTCCACCTATATATCATATGATTTGCTTACATTCAGGTATCATATAATCTAGTTGCACTATTTGTGAAAACAAAGTAAGAAACTTCCAGCTATTTTAACTGACCCTTCAAAATTGAGAAAAAAATTGCAGTTATATGTTTACACTTTAAAAGCATCTTACATGCATTATCAACATTTATCACTGATAAAGAAGATTTATACTGTCACCAGGAACATATATATTGTTAGATATACTGTTCCCAGCTGTCACATTGTATTGGATTTGGACATTAAAATTTGTCAGAAAGTAATTTTGAGTTTCTGTATCAAATATTTTTTGCTTTTTCTTTCTTTTACATATATCTTTTGGTTTCCATTTCTAGTGTTTATATTTATTTACCATGCATAGATGTATTTTGTCACCTGCCTGAAATTTTTTTTTTTTGTAGTTGATCTCCAAAACCCGGAATTACCCTTATCCGCTTCCGGAATCGGACCCGATATTGTAATTGTCTACACGGCATCCATTGTTTTTCTATGTTGTTTTTGTCAGTCAGATACGATTTTACTCGAATTTACACATTACTTGTCGGCGATTATCTGTATAAAGCTAGCGGTTGAACAAAATGAACATCGCTGTTATGAATAATAAAGATGAAAATACGTTTTGAGATCGTTTATTTAGAGACTTTGGTAAAAAGGTTTGCAAAGTTATTTTTAATTTCTTTCAAGTGAAAGGTCCGTCGGGCGTAGCTAGTAACCAAGTCGAGAGTCCGATTGCAAAAGTGGAAGGTCGCGGACCTCGGACCACCGCTAATTTGAACACCTGCCTCCAAATTGAAATGATACGAAAATTTCGTCTTCTAATTTGAAATTGCCGCCAACAGCATGAACAGTTGAACTTATTAATAGACTACTGACGTAGTTGTACCACGTATTGACAACAAACAATATTCCTACGACTTTTGCCATTTGGGAAATCTAAACTTCTTGTCTTTAAAGATTTTCGGCGATTAAATATTTCATACAATTGTTCTTTGACATCTTAGCCAAAAGCACAGGGGATAATAAACTACATAAGGATTCCTAATGTGCTCTACTTCCTATGTGCAACTTCAAAACTTTTGGGTGGTTCGACGATCATTTAAGGTTTTTTCTGGTCATGTTTTTGTAATCCAGAATTAAAAGTATGAAAAAACTATTCAATTAGTTATAAATAACATTATATCCAGCTAGATAATAACAATGGCACGTATATCAGCATTTATTGGGTAGAACACAAATCTAGGGTGCTCGCATAAGGCAGCTTAACTGCCTAAAAATTCTACTTTTGGATATTAAAAATGGCGATAACTCACAAAGGAGATAAACTAAAATCTTGAAAATTTATACAGACCTTCATAAAGTCCCAGGAAACAACATATTCAAATTTGAAAAAAATTTGTTAAAGTGTTTTCTTGGTATTCTGCTGACAAGCTGTTTGGCAGCAGCCAGTAGATCCGCCCAGCCGCCCCCCGTATGTCACCATTTTAATAACCGATATTTCCTTCGAAAATCCGGTTAAAAATTGTTGCTTGCAAATAAGATTAGTCTGTCAACTGTCACGTTTTAGAAATAAAATTATTTTTTAACAAAGATAGTTAATTCGTCCATCGGGAAATATATGTACGGAATCGCTGCAGCATTTGTATAATGTCACTAGAATTTCACTGGTCTTAACTTTGACAAATTTGTCAAGTTTCGTTTATATCTACCTGCCAAAGAAATGTTTTGACAATTATACACACAGAAGCGTAATGTCAAACTACGGACACTGGTCAGCTGGTTCATTACATTTTTTTTGTTTTAAAAAGTTGTATACCAAACATCTTAAACATAATCAATTTTAATTTTGAATCAACATGTTCTTTGCAAAGAAGAAATGGGTTAAGCGAAAGGCAGATGATGTTTGCAAACCCTAAAGAGGATATAGACTGACTGAAGAACAGGCTGTCCAACAAAATTACAAACTGTCTTGTTACTATATCTCTAGAAGGAACAGAGAGTACAGAAATAAATATTTCTGAAGCTGTTCAGCATTGGAAGGCCCAGAAGAACATGAGGATTTTTCTTGAACTATATATACATTTTGTCTTATTTAATTAACTGTGATATTTAAATGCTTTTTGTGTTTAAAATGAATTTATTTCATATATATATTCTTATTCTTTATCATGTATATTAATACTGTGCATTATTGCATATAATGATTTATGACCTACTGCTTCAGGTCACAATAGTTCACTCTAAAATAGAGTTACGCACCCTTGAAATTTTGTGCCTTAAAAAATTTCTGGGTAGAACACTGTTGCATTGTATAAAGCATTGGTTGTAGCTGATTCAACTACAATCATAGACAAAGGAAGATAACTACAATTTTAAAGATTACTTTAACAATGACATCATTGATATTTTTAGAACAGATATTAGATTCCTGCACCTTGCACAAGTTACGTAATGTTCATGACAAGTATATCATCATTTTGTAACTTGAATATCTGAGCATATATTTCATTAATAAATTTCTGGAAATGTTCATGGATAGGATGTTTAGGATGTTTAGGATGTTATCATCAATGCACTATATTTTGTGTATCTAAAGAGTAGTGATTAACATTGGAATATTTAGATATCAAGTCAGTACCATAGGGTTTTGATTGCATTTCATGCAATCTTTACCAAAAAATATTTTCATTTCAAGGGTTAATGAATTTCAGTACCCAAAGAAATACTGTCATTTCATGCAGATTTCAACCTGTTATAAAATGCTGCATTTTGATTGGAATATATAATTTTATTTTTTTTCATAAATTAAATGGATTTCATTATTTAATTGTATCTTTGGCATTTGGAATTATATATTTTCTGTGGAGCATTGTATTTGAGTGTTGTACTGTTATACTGTCCCCAAAGTAAAACTAAAGGTCCAGTTGTGTCTGGTCTAGAGGCATGTAAGGCCAGACTTTTTTTATTATCTGTTTAACGAGATCCTCCGACTCCAATTTCCCGATTTCAGAATAAAAATAAAAGAAGTGCTTTTTACTTTTATTTTATTTTTCCCGCTGACTGTAACGAAATCCTCAGAACAAAAATAAAATCTGTGGTTTACGATACCCGCTTTTGTCATCAGTAATATTTAATTTTTTAAAGTCGATGAAACAGCAATTTCAAAGTAAAGAAATTAAAGGCATAAACGATGTATGACTTCAAAAAAGAGGTTAAAGCATTGATTTTTTAAGCTGGTGGCATGTTTTTTCATAAAAACAATTTGTTTAAAACCACTTTCGCCGGTACTTGTTACGCGAGAGAGTACATCAAATCATTTTAACTTTCGGCTAAATAAGTTATTACTTCATTTGAACTTGATGAAATTAGCCTGAAGTAAATTTGTAATCTATGTATTGCATTAAAAACGTCCTATTCCTTTCCAAAAAGCATATCAAACATCGTTTATTTTTTGTAAAGTTTTCTCCTACATTTAAATAATTGGGTATATTTTTGAAGAACTACGGATCGGAGTCGGGATTTCATCGGAAGCGGACCCCCTATGACCGAAATCCGGATTCTTGCGATAATGACTACAGACGCATGAATGGCACTGCTGACAGACAAAAATTGATCCCAAAAGGAAAAATTACACATTCCACACGCATTAACGTACTTTTGGTTAGATATTTTTTATTAATGTTTATATTTCCTTTTTAATGCATTGTTTCAATTTATAAGTTAATGTTGCTCAATCATGTCTATTACACTAATATAAAATAATTATATAATTTCCAAGCTTAACAGTTAAAGTCGACTGGACCAACTTTGCACTTTTATTATTTTTTTTATTTCGTCCCCTCGACCCTAATTGTTTACAAATTTTCTCGTTTTACAGATAAAATAAAAAGTCTGGCCTAATGGTATGGCTCAATGAAATAATCATTGAAAATAACTAGAGTTTTTCATGACTTACCAAAGGGTCTTCAGAATACATTAGTTTTCTGTTATCTAATGTAAACCATCTCTTCTTAAAACCATCAGTTTTTCTTGGTCCCATTTTCTGTAACCATCCTTCTAACGTGAAATCAGTGGTCAAACCTTCAGCTAACTGTTAAATACAATCAACTTCATACAATTATACAAATTTAGGCCACACCAATTTGATTAATAGTTCTTTGGACTTTCCCGCTCCTGTTTTGGAGAATTTGACTTTTCAATAAAAAAAAAAAAATTACCGCTTCCGCTAACTTTTGGTTCCGCATGGCGCTCCTAAATTAGTTTCTCCTTGAAAATTTTTTTTCAAACAGACACTTTTCTCTTGCATATAATGCTCCTATCGTTTTAAACGCTCGTGTGATAAATCAATTTGTAAATAAAAGGTCAAAAATCTGGATGACAACATGTAGTCTTTGTCTGTGTAAATTTTCATTTAAATCCATATATATATTTAGGAAGCATAGCAGATGCAGTTTTACTAGAGGAAGTATGTTAGTGAGGTTAATGACACATGTTTAATAAAATTAAAATATGTGTATGCATCCAAAAAAATGCCCTGAAAGATATTTGATAGTTTTCATTATATGGTAATGATTGTTTATTGTTGTAGTTCAGTGTTTCTGTTGTTCCATTGTTTTCCTTTTATAGTTGATGTGTTTCCCTCGGTTTAAGTTTGTTACCCGGATTTGTTTTTGCCTAATCGAATTATGACTATTGAACAGCGGTATACTAATGTTGCCTTTATTTATTGGCTGCTTGACATCCAGTAGGAAACTATTTATGTATATTTAGGATCAAAATAATGAGTGAGGTGAATATTTCTTGCTTTGTACTAAAACAACATCCTGAGTAAGATAGTTATATTGCTATACATGTAGATCCAAATGTATTAAAATATTTCCTTAAAATACCTGTCACCCCATTCACATGCATTTTTCTTACTGAGCAAAATACTCTTTCCTTTTGCTCCTAAAAGCTGTTATGCATTTAAAACTCTTTAGCTTGACTAGAAGTGGTTGAACCAATTACACACCACCTAATTATTATGAGCATGCCAATCACAATACGGCATCACCTTGGTCTCGTTGGAACTCTTTATTAGACTTTAAATTCCCCCCAACAAAAGAAGAGTTCATGCTTGCACGCCAAAAGACTAGCAAGGGGATATGGGGTTTCATGAACATCAAATACTTCTGTGATTTTTAAAAAGTTCATGGGAATTTACAATTAAATGCATTTCATCCAAAAAATATATAGGTCTATGCCTGTTGAAACAAGGATCGGGGGTGACGATGGTTCTAACAAATATTGATGTGTTTGTGGTAATATAAAGAAAGATTTTTAATTTTTGCATCCTAGAACAGGTCTTTAAAGGTAAAACGAGAAGCATTTAGGATAACTGTTTGTTCAATAACTACTTGTTCACGGCAATGAGCTGACACAAAAGAAAATAACCAAAATTAACTAAACCACAGTGAGACAAGAAAGTCTGATAAGGTACAGGCACCAATAAATCAAATTATATGCATTTGAGCATCTGTTGCTACTTGTTTTTCTATGAAATAACCCAGTTATAACATGTACATAAATTGTACAACTTCTAAATCACACAATTTAAAAAAAAAATTATACCGCTCGCTTCACTTGTAGAGCACTTGCCTAAAAAAGGACTAATTTTCAAGAAATATATATAAAAACAAAAAATTTTGCTCGCTCGCCCCATATTTTTTGGAGCTTTTGTCCGAAGAACTATTAATCAAATTGGTGTGGCCTTACATGTAATTTTTTTTTAATTAATGTTTTTTTTTCATGTATGCAAAAAGAGCTGCTAGAAATTACCATATCAATGTCAACCAATTAGCACAAATTAACTCTGACCAAACCAAAGTTGCCATTTGTTTTCTTTTTATTCACCTCCACTGTTTGGCATATATTTTTTTTAATCAAAATAACAATTTCACTAACTGTCACAGACAAAACACTGACTTTTTGCAGCCTCTTCTTCTTTCAAACTGTATTTTTTTATTTTCACCAGATTTTGGTATTCTCACCTTTCAGAACTGTTTAAAAAAAATAAATGGGGAATGTGTCCATAGGACACAGATGATGCCCCCGCTTGCATATCATATAAAGTTATAAAGGCATATAACTAAAGAACGGTAAAAGTGACACTTTCCAAATGTGTACTTGATCTGAGATTTGTGGTAATTAGTATTGTGTAAAAGTTTCATAACATTTGGTTGAGGCAAACTTTAGAGAATGGAAACAAAAAATTCAGCAATTTTTCCATTTGTAAAGGGGCATAACTCTAGAACTGTTAAAGTGACACCACCAAAATTCAAACTTGATCTGTATTTTGTGGTAATAAGCATTGTGTGTAAGTTTCATAACATTTGGTTGAGGCAAACTAAAGTTAGAGAATGCCATGGAAACGAAAAATTCAGCAGTTTTTCCATTTGTAAAGGGCATAACTCTGGAACAGTTAAAGTGACGCCACCAAAATTCAAACTCGATCTGTGTTTTGTGGTAATAAGCATTGTGTATAAGTTTCATAACATTTGGTTGAGGCAAACTAAAGTTAGAGAACGGAAACGAAAATTCAGCAATTTTTCCATTTGTAAAGGGGCATAACTCTAAAACGGTTAAAGTGATGCCACCAAAATTCAAACTTGATCTGTGTTTTGTGTATAAGTTTCATTACATTTGGTTGAGGCAAACTAAAGTTAGAGAACGGAAACCAACTTTGGGACGTACGTACGTACGTACGGACGGACAGACAAGGGTATAACTTAATGCACCCTTCGCTACGGCGGGGGCATAAAAACTATTTAAACAGGGATCTGGACTGCTGTCATAACATTTTCTCTCTTTAAAATTCCAAAGAACTAAGAATTAAAGTGATGCGGCCTTATAAACTGAATTATTAATTGTTACAGGAAGCTATTTAATAACAGTAAAGATGACTTTAGTTAAAAGAAGATTACTATACCGTAGCAAAATGTCCCTAGAGCTGTATAAATGAGGAATTAAATTATGTGTCTCAATGTGTCGTTGTGGTACAATAGTCCAAATATGGTAAAAGTCCTGTAACTCCCATAAAAATGGTCAACAAAACATGATGGCAATTAATCCCAAAAAGTATGAAAGCTTTCCGTCAAATGGTCTCATAGGAGTTGCATTGACCACATGACACTATTACAATACTGCCTAAAAATTGTCAATTTCCCGTAAAAATAGTCTGATCAAAATGACGGTATAATCAGGCCAACTACACATGATGGCAAACAATACTATGTATGAGAGCTTTCTGTAAAAGGGTCTCAAGGAGTTGTGTTCACAAAGTGTTGTTGTTACATACTCCAACAAATGGTCAAAGTCCCTCTTAGGTGTTGGAGTAGATGTGCACTATATATAAACTATAAACCCTTTGATGTAAAAAAATATAATTTTTTGGCATTAAATTTTCCATTTTTGTTTATTATTACAGACAATTACACACTATTTCCTTTAACACTAGATCTGCTACTGCTTTCAGGAACATTTCGGTCAAAGTTTGTTTTAATCTGTTCTGTGGTTTTAAAAAAGAAGCACAAAAATTAAAAAATAAAAGATGGACAAACACTGATGGATGTCAAGTGATTGCGATAGCTCACATGGCCTTTGGCCTGGTAAGCTAAAAACATAACTTTTTGTAAAAAAATACCTCTATCTCATCTTGTTGTGGGTGAGCTATTCGTCGCCACTCAAACTTAGCAGCTCTGATAGCATAATACCAATCAACAATTTCCTGCAAGAGAAAAAAAAAGTAATGCTATATAATGCCTGTATTGCCCAGATCTGTTTGTGAGGACCATTGATTATTTTTCATTTTCATTGTTTCACTGGTTCTTTGGAAAATCTTTAAAAAATCCATCCCAATCAGACACTTTTTTGCACCCTCAGATCATACTTGACATTTCTTTTAATCTGGACCCATTATTGAGTAAAAATGAAACTTCTAAAGAAAATTCTGGCTTATTTTTTTATCATTATGTTTCAAATATTGTTCCAAACATGGTTTTCATAATAAAAGCCCATAACTAACAAAATCACAAAAAAGTAAACATTTCAGGAGCAATAACTCCTAAAACAGTTGGTCAGATATTTTTGATGCAACCAGGGTAGATAGATCTTGTCCTGGTGGTCACGTTTGCAATTTTTGCTATAAACCTAACTCCTTAGTAGATAATAATTGAAAACTGCAAAAAACAGTAAACACAGATATTTCAGGGCTATAATAGCCCTGAAATAAGTTGTTAGATTTATTGAAAATTTTTAGAGTGGATAGACCATGTCATGCTGATAATTTTTGCAATTGACACTTTTAACCTAGCTCCTGTACATTCAAGATAAAAGCCATAAATTGTGATAGTTGTATAAAATTACCTTTCAGGGACAATGACTCACTGGATTTACAAAATGTTTTTTAAACTTAAGTTAGAGAATGGAAATGAAAAATTCAGCAATTTTTCCGTTTGTAAAGGGGCATAACTCTAGAACAGTAAAAGTAACACCACCAAAATTCAATTTTGATCTGTGTTTTGTGGTAATAAGCATTGTGTATAAGTTTCATAACATTTGGTTGAGGCAAACTAAACTCAGAGAATGGTAATGAAAAATTCAGCAATTTTTCCATTTATAAAGGGACATAACTCTAGAACGGATAAAGTGACGCCACCAAAATGCATACATGATCTGTGTTTTGTGGTAATAAGCATTGTGTATAAGTTTCCTAACATTTGGGGCAACTAAAGTTAGAGAACGGAAACCAACTTTAGACGTACAGACGGACAAGGGTAAAACTTAATGCCCCCTCCGCTACAGCGGGGGCATAAAAAAGATTTAGCCAACAGTAGTTTACCAATATTCAAACCTTGTGAGTTGATTAAAAAAAGTCAAGGTAACAAACAAAAACAGAGGCTATTGCATGAACTCTTAAGGAGGGTGTGTCAACAGGGTAAGCGTCTCCAGCAACTCAACCATCACCCTCCATGCCAATCCACATTCAGTTAAAATGTCACAATCGGGAATAGGACACAATAGGACAGTAATTACACAATTTTGATAGTAGATGTCTAAATCTGATAACAGGAAATTTTAACTTTAACTGACAAAGCTTTGTTGTTAATGCACTCTCTCACAAGCATTACTATGCCAGTTAGTATTTTGGATTTTGGTTATAATAATAGGATGGGTGGTGATCGCCATAGACTGATTTCTGACAAATCTTGCTACAGTAGGTTAAATCAGTTTTATCGTTAGTATTTCAATTCTATCTGTAAATAAGAACACCTTGTTTTCAGTTGTCATCACCTTTGGATCATCTGCATACACAAACAAACTACGAGTCTGACCATTTACAAAGTATGTGATCTGCAGGCCGTTGGGATTTACACCAATTTTGTCTTTAGCAAACACAACATTTACACTGTCTAAATCTATCTCACATTTTGGTGCTGTCTGGAAAAAAAAGGAACACAGATTGAAATGGACAATGTAAGAGATCGTAAGGACAAAAGTTGATTTAAATTGTATACCATTTGCTTTTGTGGTAAAATATATATAAAAGTTGTATCGGAGTATAAAACTTATGAAACATTTTGGACCTAAAATGATATATATAGTGTATATATTATGTCTTGTTTATACTTTGTATGTCAGACACTTTGTGAATTGTGACTGTAAACAATAACAGTATTGGATGTGTGGGAAATATGTGTAAGAATACATTGTTGTGTATACATCACACATATAAACTTTATCATGTTGTATATACATCACACATATATACTTTATCATGTTGTATATACATCACACATATATACTTTATCATGTTGTATATACATCACACATATATACTTATCATGTTGTATATACATCACACATATATACTTTATCATGTTGTATATACATCACACATATGAACTTTATCATGTTGTATATACATCACACATATAAACTTTATCATGTTGTATATACATCACACATATATACTTTATCATGTTGTATATACATCACACATATAAACTTTATCATGTTCATTGTTGTATATACATCACACATATGAACTTTATCATGTTGTATATAAATCACACATATATACTTTATCATGTTGTATATACATCACACATATATACTTTATCATGTTGTATATACATCACACATATAAACTTTATCATGTTGTATATACATCACACATATATACTTTATCATGTTGTATATACATCACACATATATACTTTATCATGTTGTATATACATCACACATATATACTTTATCATGATCTTGGGAATGAATAAATATGAGTAATAGCAGATCAGAGATATATATATCAAAATGACAGGAACCAAACAACACCAACAACCAACAAACTGTGTCAAGGTCATTCCTTACTTAAAAACAAACTACAATTAACACAAAACTCTCCAAATAAACAAAACATTAACATATATAACATTTGACAATCACTAACTATGTTCCTGAATTAGGACAGGCATTTGAATATGTGACAGCATCAAAATAGTTTTTTATATGTTTACCCTCCCCTTTTTAATCTAATTCAGTAGACTAGCAAAAGGCACATTCAAGAGCATATACAGGAAAAGAACTTACATGTAACTCTTAAATATATGTATAATAGGTAAACAAAACAATAGCAAAATTATCAAACCAGTGAAAGTTAATTTCTCATGTGAAATTATGATGTTCTTAATTTTAATAGGTGGCTGCATTTCGTGAAAGGTTCCATACAGCAAAACCATAAACAGCAGAGGAAGACACGTTTTTTGTGCACAGAACAAACTTTACAGAATATTTCAATGCAGAAAAACAGAAATATTTTAGTATTGATTCAAACTATACATAAGCCATTTGACCTCTATCCTGAAAAATACCAGATGGTGTAAATGAATAGAATTATATTTATTATTTTTAGTTAGGTTTGTCCGAAAAGTTTATTAAATACCTGCCTAAATTTAAAAAGACAGGTACCTATACTGAGGGCTATTTGGGACAAAAACCTTTTGTAAAATCAAGCTGTTGTCAATTTCTTATATTCAATTGAACAACAAACATTTATCAAGGAGCATTAAAAATTCTTTTTCTTTTCTCCAAAACCTGCAAAAATATACAAGATCATATAACATATCTATCATTGCTAATAGTAAATACTGTGATAAGTAAGGTATTTTTTTTTCTTTCTTGCAACCAGATTTCAGAAAAAAAAAATCTTACATGGGTTGATCTTTGGTACAAGACTAGGCTGTCAACTTACTGAAAAAAATACTGACTTATATAATACAGCCGACCATATGGTAGGGTTTTTCTCATTGTTGAAGGCCGTAAGGTTGCATATAATTGCTTCCTCAACTTCATTTGAACTTTGGTGGATAGTTGTCTCATTGGCAATCATACCACATCTCCTTATTTTTTATATCATATTCTGGGAAATATGGTAGTAAGTTATTTGGATTTTATAAATAATATAAACTATCAAAAACTAAGGTTTTATGCATTGTCACATAAATCCTATAGTCAATTTCTATTTTTAATTGTATAAACAAATTCAAATCAGTACTATGAAGACCTAGCTGCAGAAAATTTATCATACATAATATGTTAACAGGAATTACAAAAATATAAGCGTTATAACAGATAACACCAACCACTAATTCTCAACTTAGCATAAGGAAACTTTGCTTCAACATATTCATATTAGTACTTTCAGACATAATACACAATATTAGTACTTTCAGACATAATACACAATATTAGTACTTTCAGACATAATACACAATATTAGTACTTTCAGACATAATACACAATATTAGTACTTTCAGACATAATACACAATATGAGCTATTTAACCTTCACTTACATCTTTTTCTTTTATAAAATATAATAAACTATGTCCATTCAGTTTTCTTGTTAAACAAAATCGTCTTCTTTTAAAGCCTTTATCATCTCGGCCACGTTTATATAAAAATCCTTCTTTAATGCCTGAGCAGTATGCAGTTTGTCTGTCAGGGTATATAAACTCTTGCCTTGAATATTTAGCTTTGACAAATTCAGATCTTAGGAGCCTGAAATAGACAAATTGTTTCTAAATTATATCTATCGAACATGAATGTTGCCAATTATCTACCTTGACCCTATTTTCAAAAAGTCTCCTTTAATTTTTGCCTTAGGTTGGTGGTTATCTTCTCCGGGCACTCAGGCTTCCTCCACCAATAAAAACTGACAGTCACAATATAACCAATAGTGCTGAAAGTGGCATTGAACACCAGTAATCAACCAAACAATCAATTTCTAAGGATTAAAGGAGGAACAGTTAACTGACTTCATGAAACTACCATTTTTCCTTCATAGAACTAAATCAAAGTGATTGTGAGCACTGAAGGGTGAAGATTGCTTTCATTTTGTAGATATAGATATCAAGTCAGTACCATAAGATTTTGATTGCATTTCATGCAATCTAAACCCAAAAACATAAATTCTACATTTCTCATATAATTAAAAGATGTTTAGCTATAAAAAAATTTGTTTGAAGAATGTATCAATATTGAAAGTCTTTTTGTATATGGATACATTTTGCCATGATGGATGTTGATATTCAAATATATCACCATACACCAGTAATGACATAATAAGTGCTAGGGTGTGAAAAGGTGCAGTTGTAATGGGAACATCTGACTTTGGTTTTACACAACTCTTTCATTTGGAATCCTCAAACTAAAGTTTCTGTATATTATACAATTTCAACTGAAAATTATCAATAGTTATATCTGGTCCTGTTGTCTCTGCACTGAAAAGGATATAATGCGGCAAATTAAATATACAAATATGCTTTCCATTTTTAGTCAAATGCCAACATTCCACACATGTAAGTTATTTATTTTTAGCAAAATGTTTCATTCAGTTTTCCAAAAAATATTTCTCTCAAGATTTCCAGTTAAATTGTATATTTTAAACTTCTTCTCAAACTGGAATTTATTGTGTTATTCCCTTTCCAAACTTCTAAGACGGAAAAATTGCTTTTATGATTGACACTCTTTATATAAATATATATATTTAGATATTTAAAAAATGTGTACTTAAGTTAACTTCTACTAAGAATTACATTATATACATGTATATGGTAATCTGAATATATAAATTAAACAAGTTTGAGCTTTCTAAAAAGCTGTGGACTGCTTCACTCTATCCTAATTTAAGGTAATATGTGTGCATGTGGTTGTTGATTTAGTATTGGAAATGTGGTATTTTTAGATATTGATTGATATAAAATGGATTTACTTTAAGAGTGTGCGTTATACACCCATGCTTTTAAAATTTTGTTCACTTTACTTGTTGAAAATTAAAACATTGACAAATAGACACGACTCTGGAAGTGTGCCTCTCTGGAGGTGTGCCTAGATTGGCACAGAAGTTGCAAAATACAGATAATGCATTTTTGTAAACATTGTATAGGAACATTGTTTAGCAAAACAAATCGTGCAAATTGCAGATTAACAAAGCAAAAAAACACATATTAATAATTGATATTTCAATATTTAATTTCAGTGTGCAATATACGCATAATAAAACGAAAATGAATTAATGACAGTTGATCGGAACTGAAATACACATAGTTAATTTTCCGGCATTTGATGTCTAATCCTGAGACCAGAAAAGTCTGCAATTCTTTATCTCATTTAAGCCAATAGCTGTTGCTGTATCTCAGCCACATCATAAAGCAACCAATCAGAATCTATATGTGATAAGTAATTATTTCAAGATGGCATGTATGTCGACTGAAACTAATAGCTCCGCACCATGATGTGAAGCAATTAGAACATCATTTGTTAATTTGCATTTCTTGTAAAAAGAATTAGTACAATGTTTACTGTACATAAACATTATGTTCGAAACAGTTGACTAATTTGCTTTTGCATCAATTTGCATATATATGTACTTAATTCTAATGACTAATCCACAAATACATCTGTACAAAAAACTTAAGTGGTGAAATAAAAAAAATGTTACTACCAATAAAAGCAATCTCAATATACTTGTGATGTGTGTTATGAAAAACTTGTTAAGCATGCATGTTGTTAGGATACTCTATGTGTTTGGATTTCATTCAATAATCACAAGATCCACACACGTGACTGAAGGGTGATTGTATGGTTAGAAGAAAGCCTGGTTGAGCCACAAATTTAAATATATTTGTAGCATTTGGTAAAACAGTATCACAATCAACTTACTTGAATCTTTTGTCTTTTGGTAAATCTTTTTGTGTGTAATACCAGCTATGTTTTTGTTAATAAAAGTAGTTGGATTAGTTTTAAGATACTAGTTGGGACAGGTCAATACATTTACTAGATTCCTTCGATTTAGAATGGTCATTTCAATACTACTATGGATTTAAAAATTCAGTTACAAATGAGTTAAAATATTTCTCTTCTTCAGGAAACACTGTCAACATTGAAAACATTTAACAAACAAAGATAGAGATAGTCACTCAGACACTGTCAACATTAAAAACATTTGACAAACAAAGATAGACATAGTCACTCAGACACTGTCAACATTAAAAACATTTGACAAACAAAGATAGAGAAAGTCACTCAGACACTGTCAACATTAAAAACATTTGACCCACAAAGAAAGAGACAGTCACTCAGACACTGTCAACATTATAAATGTTTGACTAACAAAGATAGAGACAGTCACTCAGACACTGTCAACATTAAAAACATTTGACCCACAAAGATAGAGACAGTCACTCAGACACTGTCAACATTATAAAAGTTTGACTAACAAAGATAGAGACAGTCACTCAGACACTGTCAACATTACAAACGTTTGACCAACAAAGATAGAGACAGTCTCTCAGACACTAGCAACATTATAAATGTTTGACTAACAAAGATAGAGACAGTCACTTAGACACTGTCAACATTACAAACGTTTGACCAACAAAGATAGAGAGTCACTCAGACACTGTCAACATTATAAACGTTTGACTAACAAAGATAGAGACAGTCACTCAGACACTGTCAACATTATAAATGTTTGACTAACAACGATAGAGACAGTCACTCAGACACTGTCAACATTATAAATGTTTGACTAACGAAGATAGAGATAGTCTCTCAGACACTGTCAAAATTATAAATGTTTGACTAACAAAGATAGAGACAGTCACTCAGACACTGTCAACATTATAAATATTTGACTAACAAAGATAGAGACAGTCAACATTATAAACTTTTGAATAACAAAGATAGAGACACTGCCAACTTATAAACTTGTGACTTACAAAGATAGACCCACTGTCAACAATTTAAACTTGAGACTAACACAGATAGAGACACTATCAACATTATAATCTTGTGACTTACAAAGATAGTGACACTGTAAGCATTATAAACTTGTGACTAACAAAGACAGAAACACTGTCAACATTATAAACTTGTGTGACTTACCAAAGATAGACACTGCCAGCATTATAAACTTGTGACTTACAAAGATTGAGACACTGTCAAAATTATAAACTTGTGACTTAACAAATATAGAGACACTGTCAACATTACTAGCTTGTGACTAACAGAGATAGACACAATAACATTATAAACTTGTGCGACTTAACATAGATAGAGACACTGTCAACATTAAAAACTTGTGACTAACAAAGATAGAGACACTGTCAACATTATAAACTTGTGTAACTTAACAAAGATAGAGACACTATCAACATTATAAACTTTTGACTAACAAAGATAGAGACACTGTCAACATTATAAACTTGTGACAACCAAAGATAGAGACACTGTCAACATAATAAGCTCATGTGATTTAACAAAGATAGAGACACTATCAACATTATATACTTTTGACTGACAAAGATAGAGACACTATCAACATTATATACTTTTGACTGACAAAGATAGAGACACTATCAACATTATATACTTTTGACTGACAAAGATAGAGACACTGTGAACATAATAAGCTCATGTGATTTAACAAAGATAGAGACACTATCAACATTATATACTTTTGACTGACAAAGATAGAGACACTGTGAACACCATAAACTTTGTGACTAAGCACTATCAACATTTAAGTGTGTTTGATGCTATTACAAGTAGCTAGTTGTTTTTTATTGCTGGCATAACAGTGGTAAAATATACTTACTCTGGATCATCTTTGGTTGGACGTTTGTAGTATGCTGGTAAAAACTGTTCATATTTCTGGTTCACAACCTCATTACCCAGTTCTGCCACAGCCTGAAAACAGATAGAATGTTGACAATGTAAAATATATCTAAAAAGACTGTACTAAAAACATGATACCACTACATGACATTGACAAGGAAAAATTGAACAAATGTATATTTCAAACTCATCTGGACATACATGTACATGTAGTTTTGTACTAGATGCCGGATAGGTGCATGAAGCAGATGTCTGCTGGACAATAAATCCAGTGATTCCAATCTCCCTTTAAGCACCATGATATTGTAATGCTATTTTTCTTTAATGTGAAGCTATCTGAAACAATTTTTTGACAGATTGTGTTATGGATGTGATGCTTTAATTTCTAGAAACAAGACTAGCCTGTCAACACTGAGGTTGTGAGTTCAAACTTCGCATGTGGCAGGTGAGATCGACTACAATCTCCATTGACTAGGATTATCAGTTTTTAACTGAAGGTCAATGGTTTTCTCTTGGCATTTGAGAATCCTCCACCAAAAAAACTGACTGCTATGATATTGCCAATAGTGCTGAAAATGGCGTTAAACAAAAACAATAAATCAATCAATCTAGAAACAAGATATTCCTTTTTTACTAGGACGCTGTATGAAATTTGTGGGGATATCCGATAACAGTAAACACTGATATATCAAAAACAGTAAATTACTATACCCAGTACATTTAAGGCATGAACTATTCAAAACTGATTTTCTGCTTTTTTGCAACATTTCTACAAACCATTTAAAGAGTGATTTTAAGCTATTGGTTCCCAAAAAATGCAAAACCATTTGAGCTAGCATGAATCAGGTAGAACGAAAACAGGGCTTTTTAATGAAGAATTCAAAAGAAAATCACTAAGTTTAAACTGAAAATAAAAGATCAGAAATTTAAAAAATGAAATTTTATGAACTAGAACCCATTTTATCTCTGTACACATTCAATAAAAAGTTCTTGACTGGTAAATCTTATCAAACTAGGAAAAATATGAATTCTGTGTCAATCATAAAAATAGGACTTTTTAACCTCTGTTGCCCCTATTTGAGTGGAAGCAAAAAAAGTCCACTACAAATATAACTTGACTTTTCTAAAGGTCAACATATTATCAGATATTAATGCAATTTGTCAAGATCTAAATGGCAGAAAGTCCAAAAAGGTTCTGATATATGTCATCAAAGTTTTACATGTCAAAATTGTAAACTATTTTAATATGACATATATTTTTTTTTTAAGTTGCTGCCACTTTTAAAAAATAAATGTGGATAGTGTCCACATGTGGACACAGATAATGCCCCAGCTTGCATATCATATAGTTATAAAGGGACATAACTGAAGAACAGTAAAAGTGACGCTACCCAAAGTTGAACTTGATCTGAGTTTTGTTGTAATAAGCATTGTGTGTAAGTCTCATAACATTTGGTTGAGGCTAACTTAAGTAGAGAACAGAAACTAAAAATTCAGCAATTTTTCTATTTGTAAACACGCATAACTCAAGAACAGTTGTGTATAAGTTTTATAACATTTGGTTGAGACAAACTAAAAAATTCAGCAATTTTTATGTTTATAAAGGGACATAGCTCAAGAATGGTAAAAGTGTGGCCACCAAATTTCGTACTTAATCTGTATTATGTAGTAATAAGCATTGTGTATAAGTTTCATAACATTTGGTTGAGGCAAACTAAAAGTTAGAAAACGGAAACAAAAAATTTGTACTTGATCTTAGTTTTGTGGTAATGAATATTTTGTATAGGTTTCATAATGTTTGGTTGGGGCAAACTTAAGTTACAGAATGGAAACTAAAAATTTTGCAATCTTTCGATTTAAAAAGGGGCATAACTCAATAATGGTTAAAGTGACACTACCCAAATTCAACTTGATCTGTGTTTTATCAGTGGAAGTCAAAATTAAACATTGCATTGTATAAAGCATTGATTGTAGTTGATTCAACTATCATCATGGACAAAGTTAGATAACTCCAATTTTAATAAAATGCTCCGCTGGGCGCAGCTTGATACGACCGCAGAGGTCGAACCCTGAACAGTTGGGGCAAGTATGGACACAACATTCAAGCTTGATACAGCACTGAATTTGGATTGTGATTAAATATTTGACACAGCATAGGTTTCTGACACAGAATGAATGTGGTCTAAGAACTTAATTTTTTTTAATTTACCCATTGAAACTATATCATTATTATTTGCTTTTATATATAAATCAGAAATAACCAATTTAAAATGGAAAATTTAAAAAAAAAAAAGGAAAAAAAAATCCCCCCCCCCAAATTTTTTTAACCCCCTTATGATTCATCACCCACAAACTCAATCCCAGCCTTCCCTTTGGTGTATGGTATCTTGCAGTACAATTTCAGAGAGATCCATACACTTGAACACAAGTTATTGTCTGGAAACTAGAAAAATGCTTGTTTTTTGGCCCCTTTTTGGCCCCAAATTCCTAAACGTTTAAGGCAATTACCCCCAAACTCAAACCCAGCTTTCCCTTTGTGATATAGAACCTTATAGTACAATTTCATAAAGATCCATACACTTACACACAAGTTATTGTCCTGAAACTAGAAAAATGCTTGTTTTTTGCCCCTTTTTTGCCCCTAATTCCTACAATTTTGAGGCGATTATCTCCAAAATCAATCCCAGCCTTCCCTTTGTGGTATGGTACCTTGCAGTACAATTTCAGAGAGATATATACACTTGAACACAAGTTATTGTCTGGAAACTAGAAAAATGCTTATTTTTGGCCCCTTTTTGGCCCCTGATTCCTTAACGTTTTGGGCAATTACCCCAAACTCAATTCCAGCTTTCCCTTTGTGATATGGAACCTTGTAGTACAATTTCAGAAAGATCCATACACTTACACACAAGTTATTGTCATGAAACTAGAAAAATGCTTGTTTTTTGCCCCTTTTTTGGCCCCTAATTCCTAAAATTTTGATGCGATTAACCCCAAAATCAATCCTAGCATTCCCTTTGTGATATGGAACCTTGTGTTACAATGTCAGAGAGATCCATACACTAACACACAAGTTATGTCTGGAAGTTACAAAAATGCTTATTTTTGGCCCCTTTTTGGCCCCTAATTCCTTAACTGTTGGTACCATAACCCCCAAAATCAATCCCCACCTTCCTTTTGTGGTATTGAACCTTATGGTAAAATTTCATAGAGATCCATTCCCTTAAACCAAAATTAGAGTGCGAAAACCAATGTGTCTTCAGACGACGACGACGACGCCAACGTCATAACAATATACGACCGCAAAAATTTTTTGCGGTCGTATAAAAATTACTTGATATTAAGAAGAAAATTAAAATTTTGCAATTTTTCCATTTATAAAGGGGCATAACTCTAGAACGGTTGAAGTGACGCCACCAAAATTCAACCTTGATCTGTGTTTTGTGGTAATAAGCATTGTGTATAAGTTTCATAACATTTGGTTGAGGCAAACTTAAGTTAGAGAACGGAAACTAAACATTTTGCAATTTTTCTATTAACAAAGGGGCATAACTCTAGAACGGTTAAAGTGACGCCACCAAAATTCAAACTTGATCTGTGTTTTGTGGTAATAAGCATTGTGAATCAGTTTCATAACATTTGATTGAGGCAAACTCAAGTTAGAGAACGGAAACCAATTTTGGGACGTATGGACGGACGTACGTACGTACGTACAGACAGATAAGGGTAAAACTTAATGCCCCCACCGCTACGGCGGGGGCATAAAAATCTTACTCAATAATATATAGCACAAGCATGATACATTTGTAATATTGCATATATATCTACAGGTACACACCTGAACTTGATCATCTTCCCAGTTGTCTAACTTTATAGATCTGACTCGACTGATATGTGTTCCTAAATTTCTATGACATCCGGCACATTCTGGACATAAAAAGGCTCCCAAGTTCACTGAAACCCATTCTGGATCTGTAAGATTAAAATTAATTTGTTTAAATAATCTCAATTTTATGTACATGAAAACTAAATAAACTGCTTCGCCGAGCACAGCTGGATACAACGGCAGAGGTCCAACCTTGAACAGTTGGGGCAAAAATGGACACAATATTCAAGCTTGATACAAGTCTGAATTTGGATTGTAATTTAATATTTGACACATTATCGGTTTCTGACACAAAATAAATGTGTCAAAGAACTTGAAATTGGTTGTATGATTTGAATTTATATTGAATTGAATATTTCCTGCTGTTGTGCAATACACTGTGCTGTTGCGCAATACTTAGTAAATCTGTTTTCTGACTATATACAAAGAATTAGCAAAAGAAATTGTGACCCCCAATTTTTTTCTGTGGAAAATTGACAATTTCTTAAAACTTGAGGGAAAAAAAAATGTTTACCCCCCAAAAAGTTTTTGTTTACCCCCCCTCCAAAAAAATAATATTTGAAGAGAAGTATCTTTTGAGGAAAACAAATTGCCCCCCCTCCCCCCCAAAAAAAATTTGTTTTACCCCCCTTCCAAAAAAAATAATTTTGAAGAAATTTTCTTTGTAAAATGTGATACAAATTAAGAGACATCCATACACTTAAACACAAGTTATTGTCTGAAAACTAGAAAAATGCTTGTTTAAGACCCTTTTTGGCCCCTAATTCCTAATTTCCCCCAAAATGAATCCCAACCTTCTACTTGTGGTATTGAACCTTGTGGTACAATTGCAGAGTAATCAAAATACTTATACACAAGTTATTGTCCTGAAACTAGAAAAATGCTTGTTTTGGCCCCTAATTCCTAAATGGTTGGGACCATCACCCCCAAAAACAATCCCAACCTTCCTTTTGTGGTATTGAACCTTTTGTTAAATTTCATAGAGATCCATACACTTAAACTAAAGTTATTGTCCCGAAACCAAATGTCTTCGGCCGACGACGACGTGATACCAATATACTACCACAAGGTCGTATAAAAACATGAAGTCACATATGACTATTTAAGTATACTGCCAATAATCTCTATCTTGATAAGTCCAAGTTCAAGTTATGATCCAAACATTACTGTGGATGTAATATAGGAAGGTTATGGAAACTAAATTCATGCAGACTGAGTCAATAAAATAAAGGAGTAATTTTGTAACAGGAAATGACTCCCCAGAAGATCTGAAAATAGTTTACACAGTACAACTCAAGATTTCCAAACATCAGGGATTCAGACTAAAAATAAGATCCTTTCATTGAAACCCAAAAAGCTTTGACACAAAAATATTCAGTGCAGATGCGGATCCAGGATTTTGAAAAAGGGGGGACCGCAGGCCCCCAAAGTAGACAAAATTTGTAGTGAAATCGGTAAAAAGTCTGGATTAACCATAAATGAATCTCCATAAGGGGGGCGTTCATTGTACTGAGACATAGTTATATTATAATGTGGTAATAGCAAAGCTAACAGTTCTATAAGGAGCTTGCTGTGTGTCAAAGCTTGTTATATATGTTTTTGACATGCATTACACAATTACACAATAGGGAATACAAATTATGATTACAATTATAATTTATAAATCTCTGAATTCTGAGAGAAAAGTGTACGTCTTCTGAGATCTCTAAATGGAAAGATTGGAAAAACAGTGTGCAGAATTTCAAATCATTTTCTCAGGTATGATGGTGAACCAAAAAAACTTGATACAACACTAAAATTCATTAGTCTAGAAAGATAATCATTTTTTTTTTCAGTTGATTAAATGTGTTAGGGCTGCTAGTTTTCTTGTTTGAATTGTTTTACATTATCATTTCAGGCCTTTTTTAGCCGACTATGCGGTATGGGTTTTGCTAATTGTAAAAGGCCGTACAGTGACATATAGTTGGTAACTTCTATGTCATTTGGTCTCTGATGGAGAGTTGACTCATTGACAATTGTACCACATCTTCTTATTTTTATATTAATGTGTGTCAATGTCTGAGGGTCACTGCATTTGTATCAATTGCAATTTAGTATTTTCGTGAAATTATGTTCACAGGTTCAGGTGTTAAGTTTACAGTTTTTAAACAAAAGAAACTATCGAATAAAGCTTAATCTAAAAAAGTTTATACTTGTAGTTCCATAATCAACAACCTTGGTCCAATATTGTCTTCCTTTATTTACTTGTATAAATGGTTGCTTTTGGGTGTATTTCTATGTTCAAACATAGATTTCCCAAATTTTGACTCTTTTTAGATTGTTCATATATATTTGCTAAAAATTATATGACACCTTTGATGAACGAGGGTGGCATACGGTTATTTTGATTTCCATATTCTTCATGATCTTACTTTATTTATATTCAATTGCCCAAAGATGGAGAATTTTTCAATTATTGATACAGAAGAATCTTCAAAGGAGGATGAAGTATCTTTTTTTATTGAAGTTTGACTCATTATTTTTCAAAAACAGGCATTGAAAATCTACTTTTTCAACAAAAACAAAATATTAAGAAACAATTTTTTTTTAAACATTTAAATGAGTCCTCATTCTTCATTGGAAAAAAACACAAAATGATTAATAAACTGTTATCACAGAGATATGTGTAAACTAAGTAAAAGTTTAATAGTCAATAGACCATGAATGAGAGGATGGGCCAAATAATCTCCATAGAAATGAGATGTGCCAATGCTAATACAAAGTAAAATAACAAAAGCACCTAACTCCAAGGAAAACCTAAAACGGAAATTCCCTTATCGAATGGCAAAATCAAAAGCTCCAAACACATCAAACAAATGAAAAACAACTGTCATATTCCTGACTTGGTACTGGCATTTCCTTATGTAGATAAAATGCTTCGCTGAGCGCAGCTGGATACGACCACAGAGGTCCAACCCTGAACAGTTTGGGCAAAAATGGACACAATATTCGCACTTGATACAGGTCTGAATTTGGATTGTAATTAAATATTTGACACATAATAGGTTTCTGACACAGAATAACTGTAGTCAAAGAACTTAGAATTGGTTATATGATTTGAATTTATATTCAATTTTTTGCTTAAGTGCAATACACTATGCTGTTGTGAATTGACCCCCCCCCCCACAAAAAAAAAATTTACCCCCCCTTTTTTTTGCTTTAGTGCAATGCACTATGCTGTGGCATATTGACCCCCCCCCCCCCTTTTTTTGCAAAAAAAATTATTCGAAGAAATTTTGTTTTTAATTACTGAAATCTGAAATGAGAAAAGATTGCCACAATTTCTTTTTTACCCCCCCCCCCCCCCCTTTTTTTCCAAAAAAAAAATTCTTTCCCTCAAGATATGGTCATAATCTCAATTCAAATTTCCAATGGAGTTTGCAACCATAATTACCAATTTAAATACATCATAAAAGTCCTAAAATAGAAAATGACATACATAATCATGGCTAAAATTAATATTCCTTTAATAGTAACTTCTAAAAATAAATTGACAGCTAATCACCTCAAGTTCTTTATACATAATTTAAAAGAAGTGTAAGGGAGGTAAATCCAAACATACACAACATTGTACTTTAAATGTGTTTGAATTACCTCCCTTACACTGCTTTAAAATTGTCCATTAACCAGGAAACCCTTGTTTTTCCCCCTTTTTTGCCCCTTATTCCTAAATCAATCCAAACCTTCCTTTTGTGGTTATAAACCTTGTGTTTAAATTTCATAGATTTCTATTCACATTTACTAAAGTTATTGTACGGAAACCAAATGTCTTCGGACGACAACGACGACGACAACGTGATACCAATATACGACCGCAAAATTTTTTGCAGTCGTATAAAAATGGTGGATTAAACCTGGTTTTATAGCTAGCTAAACCTCTCACTTGTATGACAGTCGCATAAAATTCCATTGTATTGACAACAATGTGTGAACAAAATAAACAGACATAATAGGTAAAAATGTCAAAAATAGGGGTACAGCAGTTAACACTGTGTTATAATCTAAATCACTACAAAAACAAATAAATATGTCAACAAAGAAAACACAAATCTCTATGGAAATGATATGTGCCAATGCTTACTTACAACTGCATACCAAATACCATTGATTAACCAGCAGTGGTTCCGGTGTGGTCACGTTTCTCCAACATATGATATTTTTGTATTTCTTGTTGGAGAAACGTGATTTGTTTACATTAGGGATTATCAGAATTTACCTGTAATTTGAGCTACAGTAGATCCGGCTGAAATGAACTTTTGAATAATATAATAATAATACCAAATAAAAAAGTCAAAATTTGAAAAGTATATAAATTTATTGCACCAAAGAGCACTTATATCATAAAACAACAGAATAATTTTTTTGATAAACAATATAAGCACTATTAGACAAATACTTCTTGAGTGCTTCTTGAGTTTGGCCAATAACATTACTATCTAATTTAGGTAAAATATTTACGTCCATTTTAAGCAGTAGACTTTTTGATTATTTAGATGAGTTTTTTAATTTTACAAGAAAATCATCAGGTTTCAGACCAGGATACAACACAAACTATCATATTTTTGTTCTGTATACCGTTTTTGAACTCATGAAATTGAAAAAGAAGCTTTATTGTGCATTTTTTGATTTTCAGAGAGCCTTTGATTCTATTCAAAGAAATCTCTTTTTATTTAAACTTTTGAATAATAATATAGGGCAAATTACACAGATGATTAATATTGACCATTTGGTACATGGCCGTGTTCTAAGAAACACGTACATGCATGAAGGTCATAAATTAGTTTCTTGAATGAAATCAAATCTTTATCTACGAATGGGTGCCGTATGAGGTTCACCAGAGTTTTGAGCGATGATTTCTTGGCATGGCATATCCGGAAGATGAACTAGATGTGTATTTGAAGATTTTCTTACTGTTATACGCTGATGACACTGTGTTATTAGGGGATAGTAACACTGAATTACAAAATATGTTAAATAAATTTGACAAATATTGTAACAAATGACAGCTTAAGGTAAATGTTTATAAAACAAAAGTTATTATTTTGCA